GTGTATGAAAATTTACTAATTATTTAGCAACTTAGCAGTAACATTTATTTTCAATATTACTAATTAGCAAACTAGCATATTGTATCAAGGACTGTACGATTTCCGAAAGCTACTTCCCGAAAGAGCATTATACTGGCTAATTATTTTCTTTCGGGAAAATGGCTTTTGAGAATGATTAATGTATTAGTATTAAAACAAATCTATTAATTAGCACTTTGTCGCAGCATTTTATTTATCAATAAAAATGTACTTGAAACATTCAAATGTTCATGTCAATTAATTATTTTTTAAAGTAAAAATCGCGGCCAAGAATATAGTTGAAAAGTTTTGGTTGTATTTTAAAATTACAAGCTTGTAAACGTAGGTCTCAGCAAATTTTATTCTCTTGAGAATAAAGTACCGAACAAAAACTTTATGAAAATTACTTATGTTTTAAATTCGATTTTTTTTTTATTTTTTTAGCTGAAAGAATTCTGGAAGTGCATAAATAAAGTACTTTCGCTTAAAAAAATATTTGAATATATATATATATATTAAGAAAAATGATGTTTTTTGATTTTTGACAGTGCTAAGGTGGCATGATCAAGTTTGTCCAATTAAAGATGGGATTTCATGCATCAAATCACAACTGTGGGGCTCCCGGTTATAATTAAGTACTTGAATACTATGAAAAAGTCCGTTAATATGGGTGCTAACAGAGCAATGATTAATGTTACTTTATGTTATCGAAATGGTACCAGTACAAAGAAAGATATTCTGAAAACAGATTATTGGTTCAAAAAATATAGAAGTACGTGAAAACAAATAAATCATCAGATCATATTAATCCTGAACTTAAGAAGATATGGATTTAAATTATATTGAATTGAGAATTGGGAAAAGGGATTCGCAACCGAATATTGGGTAACTTGGTTCGATAGAGTTGATATCATGGTGGCGGAATGTTACACTTAAAGTGATTCATGATACAAATGAAAATATGCAAGAATTTATCCAGGAATTGAAGAATTACTATGAAATTGGTTATGAAAATCCTTCGTTTTTGAACTGTCATAGAGTATCAAGAAATGATCATGGTGATCATATTATTGCTATGCAGATTGCAGCAAAAGGATCATTACAAAAATATTCTGCACAAATATTTCAATTTTAATGGAAAGATAAATTGAACATATTGTACGATATAGCTTTGGACCTTGACTCGATTCATTCATTCACAGAGATTTACACAGCGGAAATGTTTTGCTAAATCTTTCGCACAACGCATATATTACAGGCCTTGGACTTTCTAAAAAAGTGGCGGAAGGAAAAATTTGTGAAATTTTGCCATATATAATAGCGCCAGAGGTTTTGATGAGTCAATAGTATACTCAGGAATCAGATATTTACAGTCTTAGAGTTATCGCGACAAAGATTTTGACTGGACAAAAAATATTTGATGGAATTCCGTTTAATGGTTATATGGTATTAAGAACCATCAGTGGATCAAGATCTAAATGTTTAGGACCAGAATATTACTGTATATTAAATTAGCTTTGAAATGTTTGGATAAAGATTTTGATAAATAACCTGCTGCAACAGAAATTGTTGAATAATTAGCCATTGGTTAGATGAAATAAATCAACCCGGGTTGACAAAATTGTAACCCGATATCTGACCCATCCGTGGGTAACCCACTAATTTGTTCAGCACCAAAAAATAAATATAAATATATCCGGACTCAGACTAGTCTGCAGACTTCAGACCAGACCCACTGAATATAAAAGTCTGAGTCTGGTCTGAAAACCAGACCAGACTCAGACTTAACTAAAGTCTGGTTCGGGTCCGGTCCATAGGAGCACTAACTACTACTCTTTCTGGATTAGAGCAGGACACCAAAGAACTCTGATACAACTTATATATTATCTAAAAAGGAAATTTTGCATAGAAATTTATTAAATATTGCATTTTTATATAGTAAATTTTTTTAAAATTTTGCTCTATTTTATACATCTATTTGACTGAAATTTACAAACTTTATACAAACCTAGATTTAAGTTGTATCAGAGTTCTTCAGGGTCCTATTAGAGCTATACATTACATATAGTAGTTTATTTTCTTTATAATTTTTTGAATTATTATCTGTTATGTTATTATTAGGAAAATTAAATAAGTGTAAATTTGCAAAAATCTGTATTTTTGCAGATTTTGAAGAATTGTTATAAAAAAATCTGTAAAATTTTTTAGAATTCGAAGTTTGCACAGAATTGCATCTAATTTCTGCATTTATAATATCAAATTTAAAGTTATGTACAGATTTTCATTTGATTTATTATTTAGTTTTTTTGCAACATGTGCAAAACTGCAATAAAAAAAATTTTCTGATGTAGTTATTATAAATGTCATGATTACAATTAATAACTCTCCTATTTACATAAAAGACTTATTCAGTTATCAAAATACCTAAATATAATCTGCTGCATTAACTGTTTTATTCTCTATTGAAGTTCACTTAACTTCTTCTTGTACTAATTGTTGTATATAAGTTTCTTGAGATTACTGCTTAGTTGTTAATTACTTGTCAAGATTGCTAGCTTTTCTTAAATTCTCCTTACCTAGTTTCTAGTATAAGAATTACTGAATAACAAGAATAAAACAAAATAAAAAAAGTAAAAAGTTATACAAAAGACAAAAATATTGCATAATCTAAACAATAAACTAAAAGAAGGAAAAATACAAAAGAAAAAAAGAAAAAGATAAAAAAAACAAAAAAAAACAAATATTTTTATATGCTAACAAACTATACAAGCATTATATAAATTATATAAGCTGTATAAAGAACTACTCTACCAAAGTACTATATCTAAAATAAACTATAAAATAATAAAGCATAGTTATGCCAAATACTAAAAATTTCTATACAGTTTTGTAACTTCTAACCAAATTTTCAAGTCATATATATATATATTCAAAACCAGAGACTGCCACTGTATGAGAACTCATATCTTAAGCTACCTGTTGTTGTTTCAGGTTGTATACACAAATCTTGATTTGTAATTTAGTCTGTTTTGGTAGTTGTATTATCCAAAATAGGTAGAGTAAATATCATCAATCTTTTAAAAAGTTAAGCTATTTGTTAAAATTTCAAAAAAGCCAAATAGATGAGAGAAATGTGCCAACTTAAATATTATATATAACCAGATATCTACTTCTGATATAGCTTTAGTACCACTCGATAAAACTTCTAACTTTATTACTTCTTTGCTTGGTAAGATCTGAAAATTTAATTTTATTAATAAAAATATAAAAAAAAATATAAACAATATTGTCACTTCTGATATACTATATATTAATATAATAAATTAAAAATTTTATAAATAATATTTTAATTTAATTAATGTAGTCTAAAACTAAGATTTTATGAATAATAAAATAAATATATTACATTTTAAATAAATTTTTTTATTTTAATTAATAATTTTTATATAAAATTGTTATATAAATCTTTAAAAATTTATAACTTTTGATCCACTAAACCAAATTTGATGATTTAACTACCAAAATGATCCTATTTGTGGAAGGATTCTAATGAATCTGGAATCATTAAAATCCAATTACGTGATCACAAGATCGGTAAAAATTTATATTATATTAATTATATAATACAAATCTTTGCCTATTCTATAATTATATAACCAGATTTTAATAATTCTGGGTTCATTAGACTCCTCTTATAAAGAGGATTATTTTGGTAGTTAAATCATCAAAATTGGTTCAGTGGATCAAAGTCATGATTTTTTAAAGATTTATATAATAATTTTATATAATTAAAATAGCAATTTATATAATAAATTGGCATATTATTTAATATTATAACTTTTTTTGCTACATAATAATCATAGTTAAAATTCTGCACCTACTTTTTAAATAGTTACATCAAATCATTTGCGTAATGGCATAAAAAAATATTTAATTTTAATTGGTTAATTTTATAAATACTATAAAAAATCAATTTTTTAATAATTTTTTTAAAAAATTAAGCAACTTTGAAATTTTTTTTAAAATTTATAAATCAAAAATAGCAAAATTTTTTTTATAAATATGTTTTATAAATACACAAATATTATATACATTTTTTTAATTATTTATTAATATATAAAAATTTGAGTTATAGTATTTAATTTTAAGTGTATCATGCTTGTGTATCAGAAGTAACAAGATTACTTGAAATTAACTAAAATATTATAACTTTATATTTTGCAGTTATAGGTGATTTGAATTGAATGAGAGTTATTGAGCTTATTTAATTATATATAAAAATCAAATGTAATCTTATCCAAGAAGATGCTTTATAGTAGGTACTAACGACAACTAGGAATGTTCTCAAACATCTTCCTCTATGGCTTAACAAATAACCTGATTAACTACAGTAAAAAAACTATGGTTTTTATTTATTCTTAAAGATGTCCCAAGCACTTCTCTCTGATCAAACTGACCAATCAGATTCTTTATAGAATTCATTGTGTGATGTTGAGAGTGCCATAAGTCGAAAAAACCTAGAGTCGCTCCAATTGATTAAAATTTAAACCTGTGATATATCGATCATTAATAAATTACATTAAGAGAGAACATCCTATTTCATCTTAATACATCTATTATTCATTTCATACTCATATAACAACGATAAAATTACTTCATTATTGGATTATATATAGTCGTTTGATCGATCTTTTTATTTTATTTTTTTTTAAAAAATAAAAAAAAAATCATTTGTGATAACTGAGAGTTTTTTGATAATCTAATGTCTTTTAGTTAATGTGAAGTTTTTTGAAAATCCTTTCGTTTCCTTTGGTTGCATCAAAAACACCTGCTTGGCATGAAGTTCTAACGAGAGCAGGGTCATCACCAAGATCAACTTTCCTTTCCATCCATAAAGGGTACCTGTGGTGTGATAATGTTAATATATAATTTACAGAATATGAGCCATAAAGCATCGGAGTACTCACGGATATTACGGCTTTTGCTGGAAACTGACTTCTACCACACCAGATGCGGACACTAACGCGGTCTACCAAAAAATGCTCTAGTATGTACTGTACATTAATGATATAAATATGGTAATTGCGCAAACATACCGGTTTTTTTGACGCCTCGAGGAATTTTCTTAGTATTCCATCTAATGTTCACTGTCTTTGATCCGTATCGGGTTTCGTGACCTTAATTCGATTTGCCACAGCTATAGAAGCTATAAGACACAAGGCCAGAAAGTATATAAACGATTTCTTCATGATTTTAGTTCGACGTGCGTATAAAATTTGTTTGATGAGTATACGTTATGACTTAAATAACCCCTCTTTTATAAGAAAACGAGGCCGGATCGTCCGTACCTGCTAAATATCTATTTTAATCAGTGTTGGCCGATGACCTAAGTCATACAATTTTTTATATGACCTTGGTCATATAATAATGGTCATAAGTCATATTGGTCATATTAAATGATAATAATATTTTTTATTATGATTCTTGCTATATTAAAAAAGGGCATAAGCCATATTAATTCTCATTATGACCAAATGATCTATATAGGTCATTGAAGATCATAGATTTGCTTCAAAATCGACGTCACGAGGCATAAAACCGTGGCGAAGACCCGAACCAAAGCTCCCAGGAAATGGTGGCTGTTTCACGGCTGAAATTGTGGCTAAATTGTGGCAAAAAGCCACAAAGAAAAGAAAAATCGGGATAGAACCGATTTGGACGTGGGGCAGTGCCAAAAGCTTAGCCGGAGAAGACAAAGCTCTGCTGGCACGGCACGGCGTGGAGTGGCGTGTTGGGGCTGGAGTTTAGATTAGAAAAGTTCTTTTTCTTTAATACTTCTCCCACATGTAAAATCGTTATAAATATGGGCTCTTTTCGCCCTCTAATAAAGAGTAGTTAAGTTTGTTTGAATAAGTAAAAATCGATTGTTTAAAACCCACAATATACCCGATTTAGCCTTACCTTGCCAAATCAAAACCGCCTCTACCAATCGAGTATATCGAGAGGTGTGGGTTGTGGTTTGTGTGTTTTTGGGTGATTGTTTGGTTGGTGTTGTCGCCCAGTTTTGCCTCCGACAATACATACAAACATACGTTGGAATTTAGAATTCTATTCCGGACTAGATTTTTCAGACCATGGTCTTTTGACCATTTTCTTTGTCTACTTTAAAACACTTGTTCCACATCATATTTGGATAATCTAAAAAAAAAAAACAATTATAATACCGGAAACCTTATAACAGGAAATGCTTCAATCATACGGGAAATTCGAAACATTTCTGATGATAAAGAATTTCAGTGCCATGTGTTTTTTATTAATTTTATTTCATTTTAGACCGGCACATATCATCATTTAAAAATTTTACTGGTTTAATTTAATTATTAAATAGGGTAATTGCTTAGGTCTAAAGCAGGGTTGGCAATGGAGCTCAATGGAGCCCAGTGTAGAGCCAATGGAGCCAATGGATACTAGTCACTAGTATTTTGAACTCCATTGGCTCCATGGCCAACCCTAGTCTAAAGATTTGTATTAATCATATCCGAAATTTTGATTTAAATGTTGCCAAATTAAAGCTGAAAGTGAATATTCAAGTTTCACTGTGGTATTTGCAATTCATTTAAGTAACATTATAATCTTTTGGGATTATGTTTGACGAGTTCGACAGAGCGGCCCCCAGAGTCCGGTTACATGATGGTCGATGATCCACACCTAGAGATGGGCA